AGGGCTCTGTGTTTTCACGGAAAGGATGTGAGAAGTTTAATGAGCTTATTATTATGCTTTTTTTTTTGCAGTTAATCTGCATATGACTATTTGCTGATATGACAGGAGGTTAATTCAAGGCATCTGTGAAAGGAAGATAGATATGTAACGGTTGGAGTTTTCAAAGATGCGACTTTCTACAACAAAAGATTACAACAAAAGAGTTAGGGCATTTGTTAAACATACAGTAAAGTACATGATAACAAAACAAAAAACTGATAATGAGAACTGATGCAATTTAAGGACCCAGCAGAGCAAAACTTTAACACATTGGGGTTCCAAAGCTAAACAATGAAGTTTCTCTGTAGAACATCCAGATTTTTCTACCGTTAAGATGGAAAACACATCACATTCATTTGATTTTCCTTTTTTGCTACTCAGGACTCATTGAAGGTACTAGTTGTAAAGTGGGATTTTGGAGGTGAGAGAAGCCAATAATCTGGTGAGAATTCAGATGCCCGAGGCAAGATATGACATGACCAAAACAGCATAATTACCCATGATGACATCCTTTTATGATTTTTACAGAGAGGGAAACAAGAACATATATAAAACATATTTACATATTTGGCAATGCTTTTATTCACAGCAAATTGCATTGCATTTAGAATTTTTTTTCATCAGTTTTATGCGTTCTCATTGTGCTTTACTGTTTGAGCTACGCAGGGTTTTTGATCAGTCAAAAAATGAAATACATATTTAGATATATATACGTATATCATGCATGTATCAGATATATGTTACTTTTATTGGGTTCTACTACAGGAAAGCATATACTTAGTATGATATTTTTTTGTTTTTTTTTACTCAGAATCTTGTTCTAGCTGTTGATCTCAGTCGACCGTGCAGATAAAATGATAAGGATAAAGCAAGCCACTTGATTTCAACGTAGTGTATAACGTCTCAGGTTACTTGTGTAACCATGGTTCCCTGAGGGGAACGACACTGTGGCTCTGTGGTTTAAAACAATTTAAAACATTGTTCTGTTCGAGTGCACTGTAAAAAATGTTTTGTCAGGTAACCTAAAAATGTGCTTCGTGTGGTAACTGGATTTATTCAAATCAAACATATGATTTAATATATCTGAATAGACCCGAATACAATAGGTCACGCCAACAAAAGTCATTTCTAAAGGTCAGATGAGGTAGAAACAGCTCCTTATGATAACAGTTGCCTATTTTTACAGCATATATTTGAGCTGCCAAACATAGCAACGTCTCCCTCAACCAGTGCCATGAGTTTGGACAGGACTACTCATAATAAGCTGTTCAGTGGGGAATCTTTCAATGTGTGATTCCATATTTTGCAACTAATAATAATGCCACCTTTTCTCTTTTTTTTTCTCTGCAGGAAGTGTGTGTATCTCACAGTCTGTGAAAATCCCCCGTGAGCCGAAACCAGGGGAGTTTGATAAGATAATTCAGAGACTAGGAGAAAATCCGAATGCGAGGGTTGTTATTATATTTGCAAACGAGGATGATATAAGGTGAGTATATTTTGTTGTTTTTAAATTGGCATCTATCTTGAAGATTTTTTTTTTTGGAAATCATAAGTTCTTTTATTGTAGTTATATGATAAAACAGTTAAACTCATTTCTGCTATTAATTAATTTGTGCAGAGTTACAAAGTTTATAAAACAAACATTAAAATGGGTATTGCTTTCTAAAATAGCATCTGAAATACACAAAAGGACTTTGCAGGGTGGTGAAAAACTCATTTCCCTGACCTCTATTATAACATGTTTAATTTGCCCCATGGGAATGTCTAAAACGCCCCAGCACTGAGCACCTGGAGTACCTAATCAGAACTATTAGAACCCAGCTGTGCTCAGAAAAACTGACAAAAAGCCTTCACTTAAATGTGCTATTAGACATCCATTGAATAATAATCGTTTTAATTTGAAGGAATAATTATGGTCAAACTTTTTCAATTTGTTGCTTGCTTAAGCGTTCAGGATGACTGTTTAATCATGCTTCTCTAATTATTGTTTGTCAGCCATTGTCCTTGAGTTCATGGCTTGTGCATCTATGTTCACATCGATGCACCTGTAATTCAGAAAGTATTGAAAAAAGTCTTCATAAACATGAATATGAAATCAAAATTGACCCTTTGTACTTTATACATATTCTTGGTTTTATTGTGCATGACATTCCAAAGATATCGTTCATCAGAATGTAATAACTTGTTTCCTATTCAACTGATGGCACCTTGACAATGCAGATTGTTGATTAATATTAATCAATATCCAAATAGCTATTTACACATTGTTTTAGGCTTTTTTTGTTAGTTAATGCTTCATTTTGCAAGTAAAATGAGTTGTGAATGCTGTTTCATGTTTAATGTAGGTAAATAAATTGCAGCGAGGGCGTAGCTGCCAAAGATGTGGGCGAATTTTTATGCAGTTATTAAAAATATTGATAAGTTACTGGCATATAAGCCCATAAAATGCATTCCACGGCTTACGGATAGACACTGTGTGCAAAGACGCTTTAAGTCTGTTTCTGTTTAAAAGACAGAAAATGATTTTGTGTGCGCTGCCTGAAACATACTTTATTGAGCCATTATTATCTTGGGGAAATGCTTTTGCTGTCAGTTGTGCATGACTAATTTTGACATCAATTGCTTCCGTGCCTGACGGAGAATGTTTAGAAATTTCAGCGCTGAGCAGTGTCAATACTGACCTTTCAATAACATATTGATTTGTAGTTACTGTAAATGGAGAATCACCAAAGCACCACAGAAAGTAGACAATAATTGCAAACAAGTAATTAGAGTTGATGTGACTCAGAGAGCAAAGCCTATATTCAACATTTTATGGAAACTGCCGCTCATCTTTTAACAGGCGGCTACTGCAGGCGGCAAAAAAAGCCAATCAGACGGGTCACTTCCTGTGGGTGGGGTCAGATAGCTGGGGCTCGAAGATATCGCCTGTGCTTCACCAGGAGGAAATGGCCGAGGGGGCTGTCACCATCCTACCCAAACGACAGAGCATTAGAGGCAAGTGACAGATTAAATCCTCCGCTTGTCAGTGGTTGCTCTCATCCATTAGAGACCAGTTCTGAACCAGAGTGTGTGCTTAATGTTTTCTGACAACACTTTAGCTACTGGTGATGCATTTAATAAGCATAACAAGTTATGGTGCATGCATAGTGTTAAAGGGGTGATATGATGCTTTTTTAAAGATCATTATTTTGTGTATTTGGTGTAACAGAATATGTTGACATGCTTTAATGTTCAAAAAACACATTATTTTTCAAATACTGTACATTATTGTAGGTCCTATATGCCCCGCCTCTCTCAAACGCTTGGTTTTCTACAAAGTCCCTCCTTCCGACAAGCGCAGTCTGCTCTGATTGGCCAGCTGACCCAGTGCATTGTGATTGGCCGAACACCGCAAGCACTCGTCGGAAATGTAACGCTCCTTACCATAATCGCGAGCTTCATCTTTCAAAATAAATGTAAAGACAGAGCCCGAATTTTACAGGAATTTTACTGAAACCACGCCTTCTTTCTTTGCGTGCACATTTGGGCGCATTATGCAAATATTTCCACATAGTGAGGTAGATATGTGGGGGCGTGTTAGAACGAGCCGTTTTAGGGGGGCGTGGCAGAGTCTTAACTTTGATAAAGAATATCTCTTTGGTTTTGAGACTTTAGTCTTTGCAACTTCAGGGATCTTATCTATGCACAATCAGCTTGTAACACTCCAAAGAGAAAGGAAAACTTGAAATCGCATCATATGACCCCTTTAAAGGAATAGTTCACTCAAAAACAAAAAAATCCTCTAAATACATGATTTTCTTTCTTCAGTGGAACACAAAAAGAAGTCTTTGTAGTATCTTTATGCAGACAAGTCTGTTAAATTCTTAAAAACGCACAGTTCCAAAAAAGCTCAGTATAAGTGGTCAGTGGGCCTTTATTCCAAGTCTTCCTAAGCCATGTAAAGGCTTTTTTTTTTTTTTTACAAGTAAACTCTACAAACTATACGCTAACTTTTATTTTAGAGCCTGTGAAATCTGATTCCCCCCAAAACTGTTTGTCTATTCTATGTTGTATAATGTAAATCAATAAAAAAATAAAAATAAAACATTGCATTTTTTATTTTTTCTAAGTAATGTGCTGCACAATATCTTCGTGTAATAATAATGATGATAATAAGATGTATTTAAACATTACACATTATTATTATTATTATTAATAGGAATACAACAAAGATATGTTTTTTTTTTATTCAAACAGTATATTTGACAAAAATGCAATGTTTTGTTGTAAATTGTTAGATTTTGTATTATGTTAAATCTTGCAACATATATAAAAAAATAATAATAATAATTGAAAACATTATACATATTATTATTATTACTCTAAGAATTACATTTTACTATACAATAGTAATATATTGTAGTGTAACTAATGCAATTTATGTACATTTCTTTGTTAAACCAGACTTTTATTTTGGAAGATTGTTGTGGAGTTTCAGTGTGCATTTGCCGATAGCTTTTATAAAATGAAACGCTCATGAAGTGAACTCTCAGAGCAGCTCTGGAGATGAAGTTCATGTGGAGTGTTTTCACATAGTGAGACAGAAGATGCTGAAAACACCATGAGCATCATGCATGCTTGAGAATATATAGCAGAATATATTTAGCCTAGATCTAGACGATCAGGTGAGTGGTGCTAAGTATCAATATTGTGCGTTTATTTTTTTTCTGATAAATGTCAATATCAATTTATCGTCCATTCCTATTTGTGTGTCTTACTTTTTTTTTCAGTTCAGACTTTATGGTCCTTTTTGGAGCTTGACTGCTGTGGTAACTATGAACTGTTCTTCGAAAATGTTCCTTTTGTGTTTCACAGAAAAAAGATCAACTAGTTTGAACTAACATGAGGATGAGCAAATGGTGACAGATTTTTCATTTTTGTGTGAACTATTCATAGCAAAATAGAACATTCTCGGTGAGACAATAATGATGTTAGATGCAAATGTTCCGTCAAATCATGTTGCTTTCTGAAGTTCATTGGCTGAGAGCTTTGACTCTGACAGAGCGCATTAAAGTGACACAGATCTCATCGATCTACCCTCAGGCTTTGATCGCTACTTCACCAGCCGCACACTCGAGAACAACCGGAGGAATATCTGGTTTGCGGAATACTGGGAGAACAATTTCAACTGCAAGCTCAGCCGCCATGCCTTGAAGAAGGGATCCGGCATTAAGAAATGCACAAGTAAGAATCTCTCCCTCTCCTTCTGGCAACACTCCATTTCACAGAGCTCCATAAAAGGGAGAAAGTGAGCAAAGGGAGAAGCCAAATCTATCGTAAAAGACTTGGCCTGCTGTTCTCAGATCGTCTGAAATGGGCTTTTGTTTACACCAGAGTCTGATTAGTCATACCACAGCAAAGCTGTTCTACGTCTGATGTTTTCTGATGCACAGCAGCAGCAGCATCCCTGCACTAAGCACACAGAACCAATACAATCCAGCCAATTGGATAAGAGATGATGATCTTTAATTGATTCGAGCCTTCTCTCAGGGGAAGAGCCGCCCATGGTGGCCCCGTCAGCTACGAGTACAGCCCTGGTCAGAGCCTGTCCTTTCGGCTGTGGAGAAAGGTTGACTCCTAGCAACACATTTCAGGTTTCATCCAATCAGTGCGGGTTGCGATCTTACGAGGAGGGATTTCAACAGGCAGACCTTCTCGAGGGTGGCTACAGTAGCGCGTCTAATTCTCAGCATATAGCCTACCAAGCATTACAGTGCTTACTGCACTGCACCAGTAAGCAGGGCAGGATATTAACCTCGCACTTCAGTATCGGTGCAGTGACCTCCTACAGCGCGTGGAAGTCAGATTATTTGCAACTGTAGCAAAGGGGGCTCACTGAAACGTTGCAGCGCTCTAAATGTCACCGTGCATAATCCCTGTCAGTGGGCTCACTTGTAATGGCTGGCCTTTTGCGTGCTTCAAGAAGTGTCTGGCCTGAAACAAAATCCATTGCTCCGCCACAACATAATGAATCACTTTTTCTTTATGCTAATTGCTGCACCCACGAGAAAATTCATCATTGTTACCTCACATTCTTGAATAGCCAGTGATGATTAAATGCAGTGCTTCTATTCACTTGATTAAAAAATACGGTAGGGTGTTTTTGCGTGCGTGAATGAGATGCAAAACATGCCACTCAGGACAGCTTTTACTTTCTTTTATGGTAGTTTTGCGGTCGATATATTTCCTACGTGCTTTTGTTACACCCAAGGGCTCACATCTGAATTTTTGGCAGCTTAATCTTTTAAAAAATGACATCAAATGAAAAGTTAATTTACAACAAAACATTGCATTTTATTTATTTATTTGTCAAATAAAGGTGTCGCATAACAGATTTTGTATATTGTTAAAATTATAATAACAATCATAGTCATTATTATTGTTATTATGCATTTAATCATAAGTTATGATGCATGCATAGTGTTAAAGGAATAGTTACTACTATCCTCATGCGTCACTTTCCAATATATGTTTATTATTATTATGATTATTGTGAGACTTTATAATTAAATTATTTTCATGTAATTAACCTTTTTTTTAATCAAACTTATTGATGTTTTTAGCAGCGACATAGTAGGGGTGTTCGATTCCAGGTTTTTCGGAGTCGACTCCCACTGAAGGAGTCGATGGAATCGTTTACATCTACTTTACATCAAAACAGGGACAGGAATAACACAAGATTGCAGTCTTTGTTACACACTTCATTTATTTTTTAATTGGACTAATTTGGGCAGTCACGCTAAACGTGTGTTGTTTAGTAAGGCGAATTTAAGGCATTACCGACTCCTACGGTATATAAAACATTTTTATAAAATCTATAAAACATGTAATAGGCAGAAAAATGTACAGTACAATAATTACATAAATACAGAAATATTGTATGTTTTTGTGTATATGTAAGTAAATATACATTATGTAAAGTACAAATACTCATGAGACCCAATGAGATATAATAATTAAAAAACAAAGGATAAAAACACATTATGTAACTCTTTACAAGTAAGCTAATTAAACAATAATAAACTGTAAATTACAGTGACAATGAATGCAGAACTCACAATTTATATATAGACTATTAATGTACTATGTAGAGACTACAATTTATGAACTATACATTAACTACAAACTTATGGGTTGCAAATGATTCAGAAGTACTTTATTATTTATTTAGTAATTTATCAGACGCTTTTATCCAAAGCGACTTACAAATGAGGACAACAGAAGCAATCAATTTATTACTGTAAACTTTTTATTATTATTATTATTATTAATACTCTAAGAGGTAAGTTTTTCTTTATGCTAATTGCTGCGCCCACTAGAAAATGCATCATTGCTATCTCACATTCTTGAATAGCTATATTGGTGATTAAATGATGGTGATGGTTATTAAATTAAATTTGCTTGATTTAAAACAACCACAACAAAAAATATGTAGGGTATTTTTGTGTGCACAACTCAGCACAGCATTTTCTTTCTTTTATGGTAGTTTTGCATTCAAATGTATTTCTAGCATGCTTTTGCTACACCCAAGGGGTTCACATTTGAAAACAGGAGGCATGATAGTGTATGTGAGCAGAACTGCACATATACTGACATCAGGCTTGATTATTCATATAAAGAAAAATTCGGCATTTGCCATGCACATTATAGCAGATTTATAATGCCACATGGGAAATGAAAATGGTGTTAGACTGTTTGCACAGCTTTATTAGTTCATGAAAACGACCACACATTGAAATACAATGCAGTTTTAACTGGGTTGCATCCTCTAACAGCTTTGTCTCAAAGGGAGGATGTAATATTTGTCTGAAAGCAGATGCACTACGAGGCCACTACGACTGTGGCTTGCTGAACCTTTATCATTCGCTGTGGAATCTGGAGTTAGCATAGCGACAGTCTCGCGGGTCTGGGTGTTTTCGATGCTGTAATAACTGCTGACCGAGATTAACAGTCAAGATCTGCATGTATTTTCCATTAAGGTTTAGCTTGCATGGTTGGATTGTTATGATTAGACAAGTTGTTTTGTAGTCTCCAAGCAAGCATGGCATAATTATTCGCACGCAATGATATTGTGTAGTGAAAATGCTAAATGTAAGTTTTCAATGTCTCCTAGCATGCCGCGCGTGCTGTCCATAGAAGACCCGTGCTTTCTGAGAAAATTCTGTCTGCTTTGCACATTGTCATTGGCACAGTGAGGAGCTGTTGTTTTTTAGTCATCTAGACAGACTACAGTGTAAATATAGCCTTAGAGGGACAATGCTAATGCATGAGTCAACAGGCACCCACAGATTTGCCCAAATTCCAGCTGACATTTTCGATAATGACTAATGTGATGGAGGATCTGTGAAACATATTTGTGGTATGAATCAAAGCTGATTCTGTGACATCAGTGCCTTTCATCCCTTTCATTAGCTGTGAGCTGGGTTTTACATACAATATGCAAACTATTATATGCAGTATTTCATACCAGTTGCACCTCACTCTGCTATTTATTTATTTATTTATTTATAAAGGTCTATGAAACATCAAATTAGCTTATTCAACCAATATATGATGTACGTTTTGTGCTTGTAAACATTACGTACTAAACAATGAGACTTATTGTTTAGTACGTAATGTTTACAAGCACAAAACGTACATTTTTGTACATTTTGACTGATGCTGAAACTTACAATTTGGATGTATTTACAGCTAAAAAAACTTAAAATATTTACAAATCTTTTATATCATTAAGATATGTGTATCAATGCATTTAAAAAAAATAATAATTTTATGGATAAACGATTTAGATTTTTAGACCCCTTAATCTACCCCCAACCATAAACATACCTTTTTTTAGCGAAAATAAAAAATATATAAAACTTAATAGACCGAAACATGCAGGGAAATTATGTTTAGTAACAATATAGCATTAAAAAGACTTTTTTGAGTCACTATTTCCACTCCTACCTCTAAACCTAACCATAACCATTTCTTAAAAATATGTACAGCATAACAGACAGACAAGAGCAATCACAATAATTTATTTATAGCAAAAATGTCAAAAGCGGTACCAAAAGTAGTCCAAATGATGATGCGTTGCAGTTGCAGTCCTCTCTGATGGAATACAATAGTTTTGTGTGAGGTGAAGCAGAATTTAATTTGTTATTTGCTGAAAATATTATGCAGATTATTATCCCGATCCACTCCGTGAAGGAGCGCATTTCTCATTCAAACACACCTGATCAGAAACACGGCATGTCACAATCTGTGATAAAGCAGACAAGAGCCATTGAGCATTCGATTTTACTGCCATAAAATCTGCTGTAAAGCTTCTTGAAGCTGCAGATTTTTAATTTGTAACGAGCGTGGTAGTGCGGGTATTGCTGCTCAGGATAGAGATGAAGATCGTTAAATAAAGGCTTGAGTTCTGTTTCATTCCTCCTGTCCGCCAGAGGCGGTGCTTAAGCACTAGTGGATTATAGCAGCGCCAGCTCGATAGTTCGAGATTATTTGATTTGGAGAGTTTTTTTGCTTATTGGCCATATTTTGCTGATATATTGATAACACTTATTGCTTCTCGGTACTAACCGTTGGCTAGTGTTACCGAGCAATTTACTGACGGTTCCCCGGTGAGTTTATTGTTGTGTGTTCAGATTGGTGAACAGTGCTTCTCAGTGCTATCCGGTGGCCAGCGTGTTTTTTTTTCTTTCTATAGCCTTCCTCACTAACTTCATCTCTTACATACAAATCTGTCAAACACTTTGTGCCTCTCGGTGCTATCCGGTGGCTAGTGTTTTTTCTAAGCTGATACACTGACAGTTCCCCGTTAACTTTATTACTCTATACGGATTTTCCCATGTTGGTATAGTGACGGTCCTCTGCTATTTATCACTTTTACATACAAATTCTGTAAAACATCTTGTGCTTCTCGGAGCTATCCGGAAGCTACTGTTTCGCCATGCTGATACGTTGGCGGTTCCCCACTAACCTTACCACTTAAATAAGGATTTTGTGAAACACTTCGTGCTTCTCGGTGCTATCTGGTGGCTAGTGTTTTTCCATGCTGATAGGTTGATTGTTCCCTGCTATTTTCTAGGCAGATTTTGTGATACATTGTGCTCCCCAGTGCAATCCGACGGCCAGTTGTCAAGTACTTAACAGTGTATACTATTATTGCGGTGATCATGGCTCACAGTTATATT